ATAAACAGTCGATCCTCCTCCGTTAGTACTCACCAAAGGGACGCTTCAAAACCATTGGTTATTCAAGCTTGCCTTCGTCATCCACTCATACCAGCGCCGCGAGAAAAGTGATTGTGTTTTGCCGGATTTGAACCAGCGATCTACTGTCTCGAGAGGGATATATGTTCGAGCTATCCAGACTCTACTTGGAAGACCGGCCAAGACCATGTACCACCGCACCATCAGGCCATGGCGGTGTTTATAGTGTCGCCTGCACTCTGTCGTCGAGTTAAATGTATTGATTTCCACAACGGCCAAGAAATCTCCGCTTGCGATTCCGTATCCCGGTACGAGCCCTGTCACAACCTATTGCGAGGTTAAGACGAGTCCCGGGATTTGAGGCACAAACATATCGCAAGTCGTGGTTGAACTTGCTAATACCTTTCTAGCTTCTTGGATGCTTGAAGAAGCTACTCCAATTTTGGGCAAACGTTGATCGTATCCTTGGGGAAGTCATTCATAGCAGCTGGTCACTTTTCATCTTCGCTATTGGCCCGAAGCTTTCTCACATGACCTGACATTAGATGCTCCTGCATGACAAGGTCAAGGACGACGGGAATATCCGGATATGTGGGGTAGGTGAATGTGTGGTGATTGGAAGTACCTAGAACATTCATGTAAAATTCATGGAATATTCATGGAATATTCATGGAGTGACCAGAAACTTGACGACGTCGATTGCGTCACACTGACGAAATTATCGGCCAATGGACTGATTCATCGGGCGAGAACTTAGACAATGGATATTACCAGCGATTTCTAGAAATGACCAGAAATGGATCTGAAAGGTATAAAGTGAGGGTTAGACTAGATGTGGTTCAACAAGACATCAACCGTTGAAAACCGCATTGAACCATCCCATTCATCGCACCCATCAAAGTCAAGCACAACAAACAATCCTCATAAAAGCGTCGCGTCGCGTCAACACCAAATCAACTAATATAGACATCCCGATCGCCACAATGTCACTCTTCCCACGAGCATTTTTGCATCAAGACCAGTCCTCTAGCCCGACCGTCTTCCGACTGATAGACGAGATCGACCAGTACTCCCGCGGTTTGGACCGAAACACCCATCAAATCACAAAGTCTTTCACACCCAAGTTCGACGTGAAGGAGCTCGGAGACTCGTTTGAACTGCACGGAGAGCTACCTGGTATTGATCAAAAAGACGTCGACATCGAGTTCACCGACGCGTCAACACTCACGGTCAAAGGTCGCATTGAACGCAGTTATGCGAAAGGAAACCCACCAGCTGGGTTCGTGGAGGGCGAGGCCGACAAAGCAGCGACATGCGGAGACGGCAAATGCGGGACGAGCAAAGAAGACAATAATGTTTCGGTCAAGAAGAGCGAGGACTCGAAGACGTCACGGGAGAAGTTCTGGGTGATGGAGAGAAGCATTGGAGAGTTCTCGAGATCTTTTACATTCCCGGTACCGGTGAACCAGGAAAGTGTAAAGGCTTCGATGAAGGACGGAATACTGAGCGTCATGATACCAAAATCGAAGAAGCAGGAAAACCGGAAAATAAGCATTCAGTAAACTCTGGACGGAAGGGACGGGTGAATTTGAGTTTGAATTTTTGATGATTGAAAAATGAAACGAATTTATGCAAAGAAACTAATTAGAGACGACGAAGAATGATAACAGTTTTCTCTCAAATCCAGTAATATAGCAAAATAGCATTATAAACAAAGATGAAATAAAATTTAAATTTTACGAAAATCTCGGCTGCTTTCGTGAGTGATGAATAATACTAAATATGCGGTCCTTATGATTCTAGAAATAGATTTATGTTTGAATTGAAGAGAAGCTGGAATGTTGTATGTGACAACTACTCTGGTAAATGATGTTTCCATCAACCTCTACATAAATGTCAGTGATATTCCGAATCCTCCACCTATAGCTTAATGTATATGCCCTATGAAATCTCATTCTGACACAAAAAAAGAATTACGAGCCTCCATAAGAATGAATATTTTGAGTGAACTTGAACTTTCACATACTACATGTCCAACCAACGGAATAAAAGCCATTAGGGTGATTGTATAGCGTAGAATGATATGAAATAATATGGACGCGGATCTCATTTTATACTTTTAGGTAAAATACATGCGCAGAAATAGTCTTTCTCCTACAGCTTTCGGAGGTCAACTTTGCGAGTTCTTAGCTTTATGTTATAAAATAAGGAATTATTTTCTTTACATTTTCCGCTAGACTCCTTCAATGATTTACTTTTGAAGATAAGTTGACAGCAATTTTAAACCGGTAAACACATAATTTGCCTCTCAATCATCCCTGATGATGTGTCCCATCATGTTACTACTACGAACAGCGATGCGTGCATTTGTGCACACGGTCATGACATTGATATTTGTCTTGAAAATGGATAATTTACATAAAACTCGAAAGTTCAAGTCTTGCGACACAGTATTTCTTAAGATTTACATTGCAAGTCTTTATTGCCATTTGATTATGAATTTCATAAGGAGCGTCATCTCACATACAAAAAGCGCAAATTGAAACCATTGCGGGTATTTATGACATCTGGGGCTTCTGTTTCGAGATGAGTCGAGACAACTTCTTGTGTTATTTGAAGGTGCGCTTATCCAAAAGGAATGCCTTGGAGAGTGCGTACAGAATTGATTCGTTTTTTGGTTGAAATCTTTGATGTTGCGAAGAAAGGAGTTTTTTTTGTATCATATTTTAATTGCGTATGAAGCTATGTAGCTATGACTCAATATTAGAGAATTGTAGAAAATATGGCTCAATTGACAAGAAGAGCAATCATGCCTCGGATTTCATTTGCATGTACCTCTGCGAAATTATGGTGGCTTTTTCTTCAACCCAAATTAGCCCTCATCCGTAAATACCCACGCAGGGAAACGTCCCAAAAACCCCGAGTTATCCAGACATGCATACGTCATCCACTGACTTGTCTCCGCGCGAAATATAATCTGAGATGTCTCCTTCCCAAGTGGAGTAGGTGGCCAGGCTACTCAAACTATAGCAGAGAACACCACCAGGTGGCGGACCACGGCACCTTTCAATGTTGACTTGTGTTTATAGTGTCAGCTGCACTCTCGCAAGCGAAGTCATGTCGTTCACAAAGCATAATTCGTAAAACTCATTGCTAAAATTCAGAATTTCACGCCCTTCGAGGTTGCGTCAATCATTTGCATCATCTTGTGAACTTGTTCTGTTCTTTCTCACGTTCAACCAAAAGAGCCGTCAACTAGGTTTGTACGCCACGCTTTTTTTCCTCCGTCGAGTATAAATATCGACAAGGGCATGTATTTGGCGACAAGCTTAGACGAGAATAGTCGTATATAGGTGTGGTCATTAGAATGAGGATGTACTAAGTTGTACTTGTAGACTTGATGAGGCTTGGCTAGGATTCGAACTCGTTGGGAGTGAAAATTTGACGTGGAGTAATTTGAATCATTGCCTCGTGGGCCAACTTCTTCCGGATTTGAAATTGAAATGAACTTGGGTCCGGGAGAATATTTTGCTCCCCGGTTCGTAGAGGATACGGCGTACAGGTGTTCAGTCTTGCTCTCTTAGGCCGTCTCGATGCTAATGCGGGCAGACGCAACTCTCATTTCCAGTTGGTGAGGGCGGGTGTGAAGGCTGACAAGGCTGATGATCAAACAACTTGTCAGCTCGCACCGGGTTCGCAAGTCTCCTGACCGTCACAAGCGAGATGCGCGGGGCCGAGCGCATGAGCCGTGGCGCAGCGCATGCACCCGCCGCCCGCCACCCCAATCTGACATCTATGGCGTCTACGGATTGTCACAGATGCAACCTTGTGTGGCCGGAGTCAGAAGTGATGGGCGAGGCGAGGCGCAGGAACATGCCTGTATGTCCAGTTACTGTGGGCAGCGTGCCGCCAGCTAGATCGTCGGTGTCTGTTCTAGCATGTCCGTCCGCCGTTCAGATTCAAACGGCCCGTTCGATGCATTTCCCTTGTCTGAGCTACCGGCAAGGACGAGTTCTTCACCTTGCGATGGTGCCGGTGTAATCGCTCTGTATGCTCTGCATATCTGGGATAGCCAGGAAGAATTGCATCTGAATCGAAGTCAAAAGCAACCTCAAGCATATCTAAAATCGACAACTTATTGACAAATATTTGGCCCACCATTCTCACGCGAGTCTTCCACCTTAATTTTACTACACCATCTTGCCTCAAATACCGATAATGGCGTTACTCCAACTGCAATCGGACATTTGCCTCATCAAAAGCCGGCCATCTCCCACTACAGATTTACGATGCTATGTATAACCATGAGGAGGAAATAAAGTCATAATCTACAAAGCTCGGAACTTGGTATACGAGAGACCGCTGCTCTAATGGGGCTTCACATCTTGAGGAAAGATAGGCAGCTGGGACATGGGACGTGGGAGAAACGAGTGAAGAGGTCACAAATTAGCGTGCTGGGACGAATATTTATCGAGTATTTCCGACTTACGAGTGTCTGAGGGCGCAGAGGCAACGATTTCGCATGGTACATCCGAAACCTTAGGAACAGGAAACAATGGAAGGTGTTTTGGACCGTCTCCTGTTCGTCATGCCCCCGAACAAAAGGTTAGGTAGCCTCGGCACCTACTTCACTCGAGAAAGGGAGGACTGTGAGGCCATATCTCGCGCGGCGGCTATCTACAAGATTACAAAGGCATGTTAGGGTAGCCAAAGGTTTTTTCCTGTTTTCCCTTCGGTAGATATTAACGGTTGAGGGAATGTCAAGTTATGGGTACGTGGAAGATTGACGAGGTCAAATCAGGTGAATGAGATTGTGTACAAGGAGGAAAGGTGGTCCACCTTAGGCTAGAGAGTAACTAAATACAGACGCGTTTGCGCTGTACGCGATTCCCTAATCACACGTGACCCTATCTAAATGTAGCAATACCCTAACAGGGAAGGGTGAAAGTCCCTGGCACCAAGGTCTCGAGTGGTATCAGCGAATGCATCCACTACAAGAGCAGTCCAAATGTCAACCTGAGTTATCGTCGTGTATAGTCTTCTCTGTCTCATGCTCTTTGAGTGCAGGGCTTGTGCCCGTCACGAATAAATATTTATTTATTTATTCCCTTGTCTGGGCTACTGTCTAGAAACTCAGGCAGGAACCACTCAACCTGACCGTGGCCCGAGCGTAGAGACTAATTACCTAGCTCCAACTTGAGTCCGGGCCGGGCCAGGCCAGTAGGATTTCAGGCAAGCACAACGCTCAGCTCCTAGGCCTCCATTATAGACACCACTCTCCGATGGTTTGAGAGTCCGTCATACCCACTTGACCTGTAAGCGGCGCTTCCACAGTAGCTCGTTGTGAGCTTAGGACAAATGCAATCGGCATCGTGAGAAAGAAAACATGCCGGGAAGTTGAAGGAGGTGAAAATGAGCATCGCCTAGGAGCCGCTACTTGTAATCAAATAGGCTGAGTGGGTCTGTCTCTTCTCCTCCTACCCTGAAAAAGTTCGGTAAAGCTTGCTGGACGTCAGTCGTGTTGTCTGGTTTTCTAGATCCTAACTCATCGTAGTGTCAATCGGCAACCCGGCGACTGACGGCGATGCTGGAGCATCTCATGTGTACTAGCGGCGACGTTGCCACAGGCAATGGTCTACTGTAACATAAGCATTCTCTGCGCAAACTTGCTATTCGGCTCAGCACCATTTGATAACTGTTTGGATCTTAGTAGCCTATGGTATGTAGATACCTTAGGCATCAAGGTTAAGCGTGGAGTGCACGGGCACCTACGTGAATACTGATATGGATCCCTCATGATGTAGATAGAATACAGACAACCAATACACAACCATTTTACACGAGTATCCAAGCATGTACCAGAAACCGTAGCCACTGAGTGCTACCAACAATAACACGTCAGAGGTGGGCGCCCGGGCACAACTCCCATCTCACATCTGATCTATCAATCAATTTCGTAACATTCCCAATTTAATATCGTAATTTAAAAATGTTCCATTATCACCATGGGCTCAAAAGGGTTGGTGAACAAATGTGCGCTAGTAAATCATTCCAAGCATGACCTTCGGGAAGGATTTGGAAGGAGGCTAGAAAGACAGAGGATGAATTTCCCGAGGTACCCACAAGTCTGCAGCGCCCAGCTGGCCGGCCTCTTCAAACGCTTCAGAAGGGGCAATATGTCTTCGGATTTGGGCCTAATGTCGCTACTAGAAGAGCTCCGCACCCAGTGGTTTTTGCGAATTTTCCCGGCTGCCATACACCCGCAAATGGCCATCGTTTCGTTGGCTGGAGAGGGGAGATAATGAAGGGCTAAGGGCTCCTCTTAGTGTATGATCGAATGAGGACTTGTGAGGGGTGGTACTATTTGAGGGGAGCTGTATGGGAGGCATAGGAGGGGATATACTACTGGTATAAGTATCCTTGGCCTGTAGGCAGAGAGGACCTGCATGTCATACATAGTCATAGACTCAGACAGGACAATAAAATGAATTAATAATCATTCCAAGTCCTCTGGCATCCTTCGCACACGAACGGAACTAGGACTCTTTCGGGTTGAGAAACATCATGTCTGCGAGCCTCGCCCTGTAACATTGGCATGACAACACCTGTACTGCACCATGAGGTTCTTAGTTCCTAGCATGGTCTGGTTAATAGACTTGGAGGGTACGGGGATCGTTGGGTCAACGGTGTCTTGGGATTTCCGCTATGCCTTCTACAAGGTGAAATCTTAAGAGGGTGTATGACTCCCTCACCAAAATTACAGTATGTGCCTGGTCTATACAGGTGTCCAGTTTAGTGTGCATAAAGACTATGCTACACGTGACAAATAATAATACAATAATGTAAAACTTAGAGAGGTCTTCGTGTGAGTATCATGTGAATCGTCAAAAGATGAAAGCGAATACAAGAATGAATTGATTAATTGTCTCCGTGCTACGAGTCCATCGTAGCACTATAATATCTAGTTCTACCCTATTGATGCCCCTGATCATCATTACTAGTCTGACATGCCTGCACGCAGATCGTGCTTTCGCTTTTGGACTGGATCCAGACTTATGCAAGCACAAGTCTGCTTACAAATAATGATGATTAGGGATCCTCTACCATGCGAGCCTGCACCACAGGAGCCGAAGTTCAATGTCTATGTCAGCGTTGGCCAGCTTGCGCCTTGCTTGTTACTGGCTGGATTTCAATTCTGCATTACATGTGCGCTGCCCAGTCTGCATTATATGATACAGGTAGGATGGTGTGGGCGTACCAAAGCCAACCTTGAGGTATCCATCGAGAGAGCAATTGATAAATTATGTTAAAATATAAATATAAATAGCCCAAAGACGTCAAGATCCCTCGTGGCGCAATTGGCTAGCGCGTTCGACTGTTACACGAAAGGCATCGAGAGGTTGGTGGTTCGAGCCCACCCGAGGGAGAGAAGAGCCTGAGAGCGAGTCGGAGTACACTTTGGTTTTAGTTCACGCACACAAGTAGGTTTTCGAAGAACTATTTTGACAACGGATTTCAAATTCCTTGCCCATATATAAAATTCTACTTACATCCTGCACGAGACTAAGACTAGTGTGGTGTGTATTCTAATAGGTTCACTATTTCTAGTACCTGTTACATACAAGGTTCTTCGATCTCTATTTTTTATTCTTCTACGTGCGAATGATTTGAGTGTCCTAGACTCCAGAGTGAGTGTCGTTTATTGTACTGATTGAGTCTAAGTCTATCTAGCACATTGGGCTTCTCTCTGACCTGGGCCACACCCCGCACAATGCTCCTTCTTAACGAATAAATCTTTGATAAATTGCCCGTGATTGTCACACCTGCTAAGCCTGATGATTCCTGTAGCCTGAGCTGGCTAGCGCCAGCAAGGAAACCAAGGGAATCTTCGGGAAGGAACTCGTAATACACGGAGCTTAGGAGATTCTCAATGAACGTTCTGGAAGCACACAGATGGTTCATGAGGACGACAGGTGTATCGAGAATCTTCTAGGGAATCGTCAAAGAGTCTGTATTACTCTAGTCATAGGGAGAAGCTTATAGAAGAGGAGTGTCTCAGCATTTATAGATATTTGCAGTCAAATTGTTGAAGTTTTTTCTCCAGAGAATTATAGGTAATATAATCTACCTACAAGATTGCCCACGCATTTTTTGCTGAAACTATGACGGTGATGAATGACCATTCAACTCAGCATATTTACCCTTAGAATCCAGCCTTCTTTCCAATGGCAACTTCTACCCAAAAACAAGTAAAATGGTAGCAATGGAAACCGCGGTCGCGGTGAAAAGTCACAAAGAGCCTGCAGCTTTCTCTGTAGAGACTGCAGAGCCGAGATTGAGTAGCAGAGTCCCCACTTCCATAAGGATCCCTAATCGCTTTCGCCGTCTGTATCGTCTTCATCCCTAAGCACTTCTCCCTATCACCATTATCATCAAGCTAACCACGATCAAATCAGAAATCAGGGTCGAAGTATTGTGGTTATGATCTGTGAGGTGTATGGCAATTATGACTCTGCTGTTAGTCGGTGGAGTGGTACGGGCTCATGTGCAATGGTGAGTCGCGGAGATGGCGCGCTCACGCTGAGTGATGGCACTATGGGCACTGAGTGTATATCACTGTAGCCAATGGGTGTCAGTAGGTATTAAATGTGAACTCTTACTGACAATGGTGATCTATGAAGGTGATCTTAGATATACATCCCAACGACTGATAATATCATCTCATGGATGATGTAAAGAATGATATTATTTTGATAAATTGATTTCCTAAGCTGAGCAGGTGGAGAGATTGTAAGGTATGTGAACAGCGACTGTGCAACAGTCTGTATTTTCCATCCTTTCCTAATACAGCAGCCCATCCTCCTTTCCCATGTCTCCTAACAACTCAACTGTGCTAGCACAACTCGAAGCCCTTCTCATAACTAACCCTTGGTCATGGAGGAAAAGCCATCCGATGAGTTTCCGGAGCGTACCCAGCACCCGATACGGCGATGGTGGATTGGATCAAGTCGGCCTCGACTATTACAAAGAAGGGAGATATAGATGAATATGTGCACCTCATGTGGTCCCGGTGTCTAGGCCTCGCCTGGCTGGGGCTGCAGGTTTTTTGAGACTTTTTCCCGCGCACGTAGATTCCATTATTACCATTTTTATTTTTTTGGGTAGAAGATTCCGTGGAAAAGGTGGCCGAATTCCGCCGATAAGCACTGAGCCGAATGGCTATCCATCTTGGGCATTGTATGAAAGATTTATTCGTAACAAAAGAGGATAGGAGCACTGTGAGAGGAGTGGCCTGAGGCAGAGAGGAGCCCAATGTTTTAGATAATCAGTGACTCAAGTTGTTTGTTTGTTTTGTATTTAGCGTCTACCAAAAATCCAAATGGGCAAAGGACGCTAAGGCTTACTGCCTTAATTGTTGGAGGCCTAAGACTTCCTAACCAAGGGAGGTGAGGCCCTATCAACCATGGAAGAGAGTATCCAATGACTAAGATACGACAATGATAAATAACGGAAAACTTATATACAGGAAAAATATAAATAAAATCGTTTTGTGTTTACTTAGTACCTACGAATGAAAGGGCAAGTTAGTACGAAATAAACTGGTATAAAGCAAGCTGACAGGTTGCCACGTTGACTTTTATCCTTTCAAAATTCCACCTGCTCATCTGATACTTCAGCCGATGTCTTCTAGATGTCAAAAGGGTTTAAAAAAAGAGTCCGCTTGGCTGCGGCTGCGGACAGTCTTACTCACTGGGAAACAGCTGGATAGCTAGTGTGCTGTGATGTATGGAAGGTGCCGGGGCCCTGCGTAGCGGCAGAGGGTTTAACGTATCTGGCTTCTGCTCGGGGGTAGACGCGCGCCTCAAAGATCTTGCGGATGGCTATAACCTATGATTTTGCCTTTAGTGGATGAGAGAGCTGTGGCCGTGGCTCACAAGTTGGATCGTCTGCCAGATGAGGGTCGTGACAGTGCAAAAATCGCCGTGGGCAGGTATGTCTAGCCGGTGTAGCGCAGAGATTATTGTGGCCCTTCTCTATGTGTTGGGGAGGCCCATAAAGATGACATTCTGGGGCAGATGAACAAGCGCTGCTATTGTGCCAAAGCCAGCACGTCCTATACTGTACTACC